GAAACACTACATTGTGCGGATGCGATAGCAATCTTGCAAGCATGATTACAAGAGGGCTTAACCCGATCCCAATGAAGACGGCTTAGGTGAAAATTGAATGGACGTCAATTCAAAGTAACCGACTTCCGGCTACCACAGAAGGCCGCGATCTAATATGGGCTGGCTTGTCACCTGAGGGTCAGAAACGAACTTTGTTGTGAACACTAGACATTCATCTGTCTATCAGCGAAACCAAAGCTGTATTATAGAGATAGCTTGAAAAACAAGTGCCTTCGACTCGAATGCAGTATGAAAACAGACACAAGACAGCAAGGAAGAAGGTGTGAAAAAACCTGATTCCTGGGAGTGGTACCGTGAAAAGTCGAAGCTGAATTTCCAAATGGCAAGGTACTTTGGCAGATGATGCGCCAGCTAAAAAACGAAAGGAATGGGAGTCTAGGAGTCTTAAGGACAAGGCTGAACCGAAAGCGAAAGTAGAAAAGTTTCGAAAAACTGTCGCAGCCGGATTGTTGAACAAAAGTCACGCAGTGCGCAAATATGCAGATATCAATGCGCAACCAAACCATTCAGTCGCCAGTAATACGTTAGATATTTCCAATAATGCGACATTTTTGCATTTCTATTACAGAGTTACCTGCTCTGATTTAAAATAGTCCTTAAGATAACGAACATTTATGATTATTGTCATACGAAAATATGTTTATAATTTTCTCCTTTAAGAGAATTGAATTATAATTGTTACGACTAAAACATGCGCAAATTCCAAATTAAAATATATGCGCAACATGTCCATCGATGTATTAACAGTGATATTCAGGAATAAATGCGAATATACACGAGAAACAGTATATTCGTTAATATAAAACTTTGCTGCCAGCACACTTCAATATTTCTGTAAGATATAATACATAATACAGCAATAAGAAAACTCAAGTCCTGATCGTTACGAGTCTTTGCAGAATTACACCTTTCAATTCCTCAGAATTGTTTAAAATTATAAAAATGTATTGCCATAAACTTTAGTATTACAGAACTCAGACTTGCAAACGCTG